TGTTCCTTGCTAGACTGGTTAAATAATTTATGATATACCTATATGTTGGAATTCTGTGCAACCACTGGGGGAAAAATGAGGTAGCCCTCATATGTACTGATGTGACATGGTTGTCAAGATACTATTAGGGGTGGCCGGAAGAGGGTGATGTGCCAATTCGTATGTACAATATCATCCAATGTGTTTAATTAAAAAAAAGAATATGAATACACATATGCTTATTCATGCATAGGGTAACTAGTAAGATGCACAAACTAACTATCAATTGTCTCTAGGGAGGCCAGTCGGGTGCTTATTTGGCAAGATTGGGAGGGAGACTTGCTTTTCTCTATACTTTTTGAACCATTGCCTATACATATATGTATTTTTTTAAATAAAATAAGTTTTAAGAAAAGATTCAAGCCAGGTTGTGAAGGATCTTCGGTAATGGAGTTTGGATTTTTCATGGTAGTAAATGAAGATAATTATGTGAATAGAGCTGTGTTTTAGGAAATTTTACCTAATATCAGTCCTTCAAATGGATTAGAAAAGATAAAAGTCAGGACTGGCAGACTTGTAAGGAGGCTATTGCAATAGTCCAGGTTTGTGTTAATGCATATTTATGCAAATTTCTCAAATGTGTTTTGGTTTAACGTCCTGGTTTTCCATCAGCTAGGTCAGTGTTTGGCACATAGCAGGCATGCTGGTTATTTGATGGATGAGAATATTCAAGCATCATCCATTTTCTTCCAGTGGGCCTTCGTAATCATTGACTCTTGATTCCTCTGGCATGTTTTGGCATTAGCTTATTTTAATAATAATAATAATAAAATTTTCCCACTAATTATAAACCCTGTGAGGCTACTTTGCTCTCTTTTTTTCTCCCTCTATTTAAATTGTTGCACAGGATGAATTATGATATGTCATTACTATCATATATAAAATGTAGTAGGTACCATTATTTTATGTTACTATTACTGTTTATCTTGCCTTTGTGTGTGTTCCTTGAAGACTAGCCGTTTTGTTCTCATTAAAATGGGAGTTTTGCATAGTGATTGAGAGCATAGACTCTGAAACTAGATGACTTGACTTGGAATTATCCAGTGAACTTTGAGCAAATTACTTAACTTTAGTATACTTCACTTTCCTTATCTATACAGTAGAGATTTGAAGATTAAATATATTTTATGTAAAGTGCTTAAAACAATGCTTGACACATAGTGTTAATTATGTTATGGAAGTTTTCGCAGATACTACTGATTTGGAAGAAAGTCAGTTGAATAACCTCAATTCTTATGTACTTTACCTGTGTTTGTATTCTTTAAAGGTCTGCTCATTTCTTTTCATTAAAAAGGCCATTTCTGAACCTTTCTTTGTTTCCTTGAAATTATAGCAGCCCCTGTCTCTTGGAGCACACTAACATGGTAATGAATTGGACCTTTAACAACTTTGTTCACTTTACATTTTCTTTTTTTTAAAATTTATGTTTTATTTCATTCTATTTTTTAAATTTATTTTTGGCTGCATCGGGTCTTAGTTGCGGCATGCGGGCTCTTCCTTGCGGCGCTCGGCTTCTCTCTGGTTGTGGCGTGTGGGCTTCTTTCTAGTTGTGGCACTCAGACTCCAGAGCGTGCAGACTCAGTAGTTGCAGTGTGCGGGCTCCAGTGCACGTGAGCTCTGTAGTTGTGGCACACAGGCTTAGTTGCCCCGCGGCATGTGGGATCTTAGTTCCCCGACCAGGGATCAAACCTGTGTCCCCTGTATTGGAAGGCGGATTCTTAATCACTGGACCACCAGGGAAGTCCCCACTTTACATTTCCTTTTGATAAATTGGATTCTAGTGTTCAGGGATATTAATTCACCTTGTTCGCTAATACATGTTCTATAATTACATAAAAATATGACAGTGGGAATACTGACAAAATTCCCTTCTTGAGATATTGACGTCTTTACATTGCTTTATGCTACGCGGTACTAGGTGTATGCATTTATCGGGTGTCCTGTGTGGCCTGTTGCCTTGATGCTTAATCATGTGACTGATGGCCCTTTTGACAAAGAATATAGCCAGTTTCCCACAGCTGAATTACATTTTATAACTGCTTAAATAAATCACTTTTTAAAAACAGTTGAAACATTCCAAGTGTGAAAGACAAATGCAGTTTATTTTCATGTTTAAGTCCCCATTCATATAATTTTTCAAAATGTTTTTTAAATTTAAAAAATTCTATGAAACTGAATTTATTATTGCAATTAACTTTCATAAACCACTTGTTTTATTACTGGTGATAGTGGATAGCAGAAATGAATTTTGTATAACAAGACTTCTTACAGTTCTTTTTTGAATTTCATTGCACAAGCAAGTATGTTTTAATTTGTTTACCTTTTTGTTTTTTATTTCAGCCTAACTAATCATTGTTTATTATTTTTGTTTTATCAGATTTCATAAATTAAAACAGTTGAAATACTGTATTGTGAAATAAGAACCCACCTATTTTGAATTAGCACTCTGCACCTGAAAACTACATTATTCTTTTGAGTTATTCCATGATCTGTTTCTAGAGTCTAGCTTTGTTTTCTTTGGGAACAAATATGATTAAATCTGTGTGAGGTTGGGAACAAATGATTCATGTTTGGAAGTACTTAAATTCTGAGTCTTAATTACGTGGAAGTACTTGCATTTTTTTTTTTTTTTTAAGGAAGCTGTTTGTCTTCTTTTTCTTTTTAACCAGAATTTACTAGAAATAATACTATTCTTTATACTTTTTGATCAGTATTTCTATTAAAATCTTGTTTTTAAACTACAGAAAACCTCAATATCCTAGAATATTAAAAAAGGATACTATCTAGGTCCTTGTAATACTAACATATTAAGAAGAAAACATAACCAGAATGTAAGAAAACGATAGCAGTAAAGTCAAAACAAAAAGTTAATTTTTTAGTATGGGAGTTAATAATGATCTGATATAGCTAAAAAATAACCTTTGTTGGAAAAAGAGAGCTGTGTTGAATAACGGGGTAGCAAAGGAAGAAATAATAGACTCAATTTCTTATTTAATATCATCAGATCCATTCCTTTGACAGCATTTTAATTTATATGCCAGTTTTCTTCCTGCAGTATCTTTTGACTTTTATTTTAATAAGTTAGTGTTTAAACTTTTTTTGTATTAAAAACAAATAATTTGGAAGTGGCATGTTGACTTTTACTTGTACAACATTTGGAATGTTTTTGACTTATTGGCCATGCATGTTTGTAGGAGGAGGAAAAGTATTTAGAGATAACATAACTGGTATTCCCTTGAAGTCTCAGCCATAACAAAATTTCCTAAGTTAAGGATAGGATTTCTCATAACTTTGACAGACACAGTAATATTTCTCCTTCTGTGGCATGAGGCTGTGAGTATAAATTGAGTTGGGATAGATGAATAGTTGCCATCGATACAGTTATGTTGGGTTAGAGTCCGCAGGGCAGATGACATTAGCTGAGACAGCAGTTAAGCTGAAATCGTTGTACAGATAAATCTATTGCATTGCTACACAGTCATACTGTATTGGAGGGAGCATTCGCCGAATTGTGCAACAGTCAATGACATTTAATCAAATTCCTTAAAAAAATTTATAAAATTAAGGAAGAATTTAAAGCTATAATGAAAACTGAGCATTTAAAAGTGTATTTTTATGGGAAGTATTCTTAATATGTCCTTATTTTCCTTATTTATTATCAGCTTAGCAAAGATTCTTGCTATATTATTAACTAACCATATGTTTTTTGGTAAAAGGATATCACAGTTAATCTGTGCAGTAGAGTATGTCATGTAGGTATTTGTATGCATTTAGTAAATGCTTGAAATATGCAGAGTACTAGCATATCATTTTAGCCACTTACAAGATGCTTTGGGCAAGTTACCTCAACTCTAGTCCTCAGTTTTCTCATGTGTAAAATGTGGATAAATTAATACCTGTCTCATAGGTTATGATGAGAATTAAATGAGTTAATATGTGCAGTGGTTATAGTTAATGAGTGGTCAATGAATGTTTATTATTACTATATAATTAGTTGAAGATCAATAAGAATTCTTATGTATTCTCTAATTTTATGAAAAAGCTTCTAGAAAGATACTTAACTCATTGAGAAATAATGTATGTGATGATTCATTTTGCTCTTAATTCCATTAGGTCACTTAGTATTCTTGCTGACTATGTAGCAACTTTTTTAGGACTCCAAGTTGAGGTCCATAAAGGTGAATAAAGCCTTGTGCTCTGCTTTGAAGTAGCTTATTATGAAACTTCTATTAAAAAGTCAGTAAGAGGGGTGAATTTCCTAAGTAACTTGAATTGGAGAGATTTTTAGTTTTTCCCTTGTTTGTGGTTCATAAATCAGAGAGATCATATCTGATTGGGAGATTAGAAATGGATTGGGGGAAACATAATGATTATTCAAAGATTCCATTCTTATGTGTATTTTATTCTTTTGTCATCACCTCTTCCTTAATCGCTTCAGTAATTCAGCTTGTGTACTCATTTATTTATTAAAATAACTTTAAAAATTGTGAAATCCTATCATCCCCACAGTATGGTAGGAAGGGAAATAGCTAGAATTTATGAAAATATTTATTGGCAATTCTCTTGATGTATTTTTAATATACCAAACTATTGAATCTTCCCTCACTACTTTTACAGTATAACTTGTTAGCCTTGACAGTTGGGTGTGTTGTTTGTAATATGGTTACTAAAGCCAAATTGAAAAACATGTCAAGTTACTAGGAACACAAGAACCATCTATGGTTCAGAATTGTGTAGCTGTGCACAGTTCTCCACCACTTGTAATTTTATATGCCTTGATAATGACTTAATCTGGACATAAGGCCTAGTACAATTTGAGGGCATTTCAAGTAGATCTATTATCCTTGTAGACAGAATCACTTTAGAAATAGAGAAAAACAAATTCTGAAATGTTGTCACTGTAAACATCACAAGGGTAGGTAAATAGTCTTACTGACCCACGTATGTACTTTTTCCCTTAGTATTGAATTTGACCGGGATTGTGACTACTTTGCAATTGCTGGGGTTACAAAGAAGATTAAAGTCTATGAATATGGCACAGTCATTCAGGATGCGGTGGATATTCATTACCCTGAAAATGAAATGACCTGCAATTCCAAAATCAGGTATTTACATTATTTCCTTGGCCTAATGCAGTGTGTATATAACAGTTAGTATCTATAATTAATATGAGTTTGTTATGGTACCTTTTCGTGAGACTCCTTACTCATTCATGGTGAACACTTTAATTGTATACAGAGGATATGTCAGAATATCTTTTTTATAGACATGGGTTGCTTTTTCCCTGTGGGGGTTAGTAGTTAGTGTTTTTCTGTTTGCCAAATGAAAATCCTCTTTCTTTCACTTAATCAAATAAAGGTCTTTATTGTAGATGGCCTTTCATGGGGTATTTATTTTTAACATCTTTATTGGAGTATAATTGCTTTACAATGGTGTGTTAGTTTCTGCTTTATAACAAAGTGAATCAGTTATACATATATATATGTTCCCATATCTCTTCCCTCTTGTGTCTCCCTCCCTCCCACCCTCCCTATCCCACCCCTCTAGGTGGTCACAAGCCATCTAGCTATTTCCCTGTGCTATGTGGCTGCTTCCCACTAGCTATCTGTTTTACGTTTGGTAGTGTATATATGTCCATGCCACTCTCTCACTTTGTCACAGCTTACCCTTCCCCCTCCCCATATCCTCAAGTCCGTTCTCTAGTAGGTCTGTGTCTTTATTCCCATCCTACCCCTAGGTTCTTCATGACCTTTTTTTTTCCCCTTAGGTTATATATATATGTGTTAGCATACGGTATTTGTTTTTCTCTTTCTGACTTACTTCACTCTGTATGACAGACTCTAGGTCCATCCACCTCACTACAAATATCTCAGTTTTGTTTCTTTTATGGCTGAGTAATATTCCATTGTATATATGTGCCACATCTTTATCCATTCATCCGATGATGGACACTTAGGTTGCTTCCATGTCCTGGCTATTGTAAATAGAGCTGCAATGAACATTTTGGTACATGACTCTTTTTGAATTATGGTTTTTCAGGGTATATGCCCAGTAGTCGGATTGCTGGGTCATATGGTAGTTCTATTTGTAGTTTTTTAAGGAAGCTCCATACTGTTCTCCATAGTGGCTGTATCAATTTATATTCCCACCAGCAGTTCAGAAGGGTTCCCTTTTCTCCACACCCTCTCCACCATTTATTTCTAGATTTTTTGATGGTGGCCATTCTGACCGGTGTGAGATGATATCTCATTGTAGTTTTGATTTGCATTTCTCTAATGATTAATGATGTTGAACATTCTTTTATGTGTTTGTTGGCAATCTGTATATCTTCTTTGGAGAAATGTCTATTTAGGTCTTGTGCCCGTAGCCCAATGAATAGTGTCTCAGAGTTAAGAATTTGTCTTCTAGCATGCGTATATCTAAACATTATAATTGTTTACAGTTTTAAGAATTCTTTTCAGAAGAACATTTTACTTCTTTTCATGAGGGCATAGTATTTAAGTTTCATGTATTAGGAATTAGAGTTCATTATTAGTGCTTTTTAAACCTGGAGTACTGTTAAGGCTGCAGAAACTGGACCCTACTTCTGATCTTCACCCTCGCCCCATGCCCCACCCCCAAATCTTGGAGGAATCCTAGAATCTGTATTTTTAAAACAAGCTTCCCTGTTTTCATAGGCACTGGCTTAAAAGGGAGTGATGTAAGGAAATCACTTAATAATAAATTTATTTAGAACTTTGAACATTTTCCAGTCATCCTTGTACCTTTTTTATCTGGATGAATGACACATATAGTCTGTGTGTATATGTGCTCATTTTAATAATGTTAATAATATAGCAAGTATCATAGTCTTTATTTGTTATAGCTTTCTTTTTTGTTTTCTAATTCGTTCATAAAAATGGTAGGCTGATAGTGCTCATTCATCAATGGTGCTCATCATTGAGAATCTGTTACAGTTATTAGTTTATATACTTTATTTCTAAGTGAAAAGAATACAACGTAAGACATAACTTTATTGAATTCTAATGTGACAGGCATTGTCCTAAGTGCTTTGTCTTAAGCTGACCGTTGTTGCCCCATTTTATACACAAGGAAGCTGAAGCACAAAAAGGTTCATTAACTTGCTTAAGATTGCACAGCTGTTCTCTGGAGGAGCCAGGATTCAAACAGAAGTAGTTTGTTTCCGGAATCTGTGCTTCTAACCATTTCATGCTACTCATTTATAAAATAGAGGCTCTAATACTAATACATATTTCATAGGATTGTACTTTAAGTAAATCCACATAATGCACTCAGCACAGTACTTGGCCCACATCAAGTAAATGTTACTATAATGAAAATATAGATTAGAGGGTTTACCTTTTCTGTCTTGACATATGTAAAAATTATGGCAGTACTCTATGCATCTTGGAATAAAGAGAAGGAAACAGTTCAAGGCTGGAAACTATGGGCTTGGGGCTGAAAGGATCAATATGTAAGCTTGCCTAAAACCAATTTGGAGCACACCAATTGTGAAAGTGAACTAAATTACCCAAAGCCGCAGCTAGTAAGTTGCAGATCTGGAATTTAAGCTCAGGTCTGTCTAAATCGAAGGCTCTTAACTGTTTCATATAATTTCTCCCAGAAATTCTAACAAGTATACTTAAAGTTGCAAATGAACTCTTCCAACCCCTAAAATTTAGCATGAATGCAACTAGTAGAGAGCAAAAAAGCTTTGTGTTCAAATGCTTGGAAATCACCTAGGTTAATTGCTTTGCTTTCTAGGTGGCTTTTTTCTTTAATATACATTAGCTTTACTGTATGCATGATGTGCATATGTGTCTAACCAAAAGAATGTATTTTTAGATGTCGCATTCTCAGTTTTGAAACAGTTGAGAATAGCTGAAACCATAAATGTTAAAAGTTTAATTCTAACTGTTAAATGCATTTAATTGAAATTTCAGTCATACACTTATATTAGTTAAGATTTGGGTGTAAATACAGAAATCCAATTCAAACCAGTTTTGGTTTATATGATTGGGCACAGCTGGATCCAGGGGCCTAAACAGTCTGATTAGGTCTGTCATTCTGCCATGGCATGTTCTTGCCCCCTTGGCCTCTATTATCTTCACTTACAGATGTGCTTTTCTCATGTATCAAGGATGGCCAGTAGCAACTTTAGGCTCATATCCATCTTCCAGCTCGGGACGAGCATGAAAAGTGGTTACAGGTCATAACTTGGTAGTTTCAGGTGAAAAATCTGGGAATTATTTGATACCTTTCTTCCCAGATGTATTGTGGGCAGAATAATGATTGTGAACTCATGTAAACCATTTTGAAAGGGTTCTAATCTTTCTGAACACATCAAAATTCTTTGTACCCATTGTTATTTATTTTTATGTAAAATGAGGCTTAATAGTATTCCTTTCTTTCAGCTGTATCAGTTGGAGTAGTTACCATAAGAACCTGTTAGCCAGCAGTGATTATGAAGGCACCGTCATCCTATGGGATGGATTCACAGGACAGAGGTCAAAGGTCTATCAGGTAAATAAGGATACTAGTTACTTGTTTTAAGAATCACGTTTTCACTTTTTAATAATTGTAGAGCTTCATGTGTTTTATAGTTACAAATTTAAAGTCATTATTTCGCATTTTCTATACCTATGTAATTCCAAAGAGATGCTTCTCTGAAGCATCTCTTCAGAATTTTTGCATTTGTAGAATGTATCAAATGAATTTCCAAAAGCAGTAATTTTGTAAATGTGTATATAAAAAGTTTAGGAACTACTTTGCATCTCATTTGTTTTCATAGCCAGTTCTTTTCCCTCCCACCATAGTGGTAAATTGGTATCAAGTTTGTTTGTTTGTTTGTTTTGCTTTATTTATTTTAAGATCCATATTCTGTTTGAGACTACTTTGTCTTCCTTCTCCATCCAGGAGCATGAGAAAAGGTGTTGGAGTGTTGACTTTAATTTGATGGATCCTAAACTCTTGGCTTCGGGTTCTGATGATGCAAAAGGTACTATTTGAGTTCCCTCCCCCAACTTAATTCCTTTTACTGACAGAGATGCAGATGTTTATTGAAACTCATAACAATCCTTTGTGATTACTGATTATTCTAAACATAATCTACTAAGCACAAAAATCTGTATTTCTTGGAGTGAAAGAAAAATGAATATGCTGCATCTTCATTATGATAATGTTTTCTGGGTTCATGCCACACTGTGACATTTTTATAACCAGTTCCTTTATATATACCATGAAATGAACTTTAGACATCTCTGTATTTTGAATTATATTAAATTCTGACTGCATACCAGAATCTTTTAATGAAGTTTATCATGTTTCAAGGCCAAAATTCTACATCTCTTTCTGCCAATTTTTTTTTAACATAAATTTATTTATTTATTTTTGGCTGTGTTGGGTCTTCGTTGCTGTGTGCGGGCTTTCTCTAGTTGTGGTGAGCGGGGGCTACTCTTCGTTGTGGTGCACGGGCTTCTCATTGTCATGGCTTCTCTTGTTGCGGAGCATGGGCTCTAGACGCACAGGCTTCATTAGTTGTGGCACGTGGGCTCAGTAGTTGTGGCTTGTGGGCTCTAGAGCGCAGGCTCAGTAGTTGTGGTGCATGGGCTTAGTTGCTCCATGGCATGTGGGATCTTCCCGGACCAAGGCTCGAACCCGTGTCCCCTGCATTGGCAGGTGGATTCTTAACCACTGCTCCACCAGGGAAGCCCTCGTTCTGCCAATTTACCTCTCTTTTATTTTATTATTATTTTTTTTTGGTATATCCATCTTTACTATTCACTCTTTTCTGTTAACCTTACTGTCTTGTTTTGGCCTGGTTCTTCTCATCATTATATTTATAAAGCCCTGTTAACAGATTTCTTTTATCTTAGAGTTAGTAGCCTTAATTTCTTTGCCCTTTCCTTCTTTTCAACATGTAACTTGCAGACTAGTGGATAGATAGGCAAGGGTGGCTCTACCATTGAAAACTTTATTTCACAATGATAGAGCTGTCCTATTCTGTAAAAGGGAAATGACATGACTGGCTTGACCCCCAAAAAGTTTTAGATCAGAAAGTAGCAAGTTGTTTACCCACAGTATATATAGATTGTAATACTTTGCTTCGCAATTGCTTTAAGAAATTATCTTCGAATTTCTGAATTATTTAGAGAATTGTGCTACAATTGACATTTTTACGTTGGAATACAAAGCTTCATTAATTAAACTTTTTTTTTTTTTAAATAATGTAGTGGGGTAGCCTTTATTGAGAATACTTGTGTACTTCCTCAGGAAAATAGAAGTAATTTAAGGAGGAAGAGCAATTTAAGTAGGAAGAGATTTTTTTTAATTACTTACTGATTTTATTTTTTTTAATTTATTTTTGGCTGCGTTGGGTCTTCGTTGTGGCAAGCGGGGGCTACTCTTCGTTGCGGTGCGTGTGCTTCTCATTGCAGTGGCTTCCTTCTTGAGGAGCACGGGCTCTAGGCGCATGGGCTTCAGTAGTTGTGGCACGTGGTCTCAGTAGTTGTCGCACACGGGCTTAGTTGCTCCGCGGCATGTGGGATCTTCCCAGAGCAGGGATTGAACCCGTGTCCCCTGCATTGGCAGGCAGGTTCTTAACCACTGCGCCACAAGGGAAGTCCCTTGATTTTAAATTGTATTAAGATACACATAAAATAAACCATTTTAAAGTATACTGCTCGGAGGCATTAAGTACCTTCACATTGTTGTTCATCCTTCACCACTGTCAATCCATAGAACTTTTTTCGTATTGCAAACCTGAAACTCTGTGTCAGAAGCTGTTTCTGTTTTACTGAAACAGTAACTCCCCATTCCCCCTTCACCAGCCCCTGGCAATCACCTTTCTAATTAATTTCTGTTTCTTGTGACTGGTTTATTTCACTTAGCATAATGTCTTCTAGGTTCATCCATGTTGTAGCATGTGTTAGAATTTTGTTCTTTTATAAGACCGAAAAATAATCTATTGTATGAATATACCACATTTTGTTTCATTCGTTGATGGATAGACACTTGGTTGCTTCCCCTTTTTGGCTATTGTGAATAATGCTGCTATGAACATGAATGGCAAAATATCTCTTCATATCACTGCTTTAAGTTCTTCTGGGTATATACTCAGAAATGGAATTGCTGGATCATATGATACATACTTAATTTTTTTAGAAACTGCCATTCTGTTTCCCACAATGGCTGCACCATTTTGTATTCCCACCAATAGTACCCAACTATTTCCATTTCTCTACATCCTTGCCAATACCTGTTCTTTTATTTTTCCTTTTTTTTTAAATAATGATTTTAATGGGTATGAAGTGGTATCTTACTGTGGTTTTGCTTTGCTTGCATTTCCCCAATGATAGTGATGTTGAACATTTTTTCATGTGCTTATTAGCCATTTGTATATCTTCTGAGGAGAAAGGTTTATTCAAGTCCTATGCCAATATTTTAATTGGGTTTTGTTGTTGTTTTTGAGTTTTGGAGTTCTCTATGTATTCTGAATATTAATCCCTTATCATGATTATCAAATATCCATTATATATGATTTGTTAATATGTGCTTTGATGCACACAGTTTTTTCATATTGATGAATTCCAAATTGTCTATTTTTTTCTTTTGTTGCCTGTGCCTTTCGTTCATATTCAAGAAGTCATTGCCAAATCCAATGTAATAAAAATTATGGCCTATTTTTCCATCTAACAGTTTTATGGTTTTAGCTCTTACATTTGTGGCTTTGATCCATTTTGAGTTCACTTTTGTATATGGTGTAAAGTAAGGGTCTGACTTCATTTTTTACATGTGAATATCCAGTTTTCCCAGAACCACTTGTTGAAAAGATTGTCCTTTCTCCATTGAAAAGTCTTAGCACCCTAGTTAAAAATCATTTTATCATATCATCAGGGCTTATTTTTGGACTCTGTTCTTTTCCATTGGTCTATATATTTGTCATTATGCCACTACCATACTGTTTTGATTACTGTAGCTTTGTTTTGAAATCAGGAAGTGAGTCTTCCATTATTTTTTCTTCTTTTTCAAGATTGTTTTGGCTATTTTAGATCTATTAAGACTCCACATAAATTTTAGGATGGATTTCATTCTATTTCTGCAAAAAAATACTTCATTGAGATTTTGTTACAGATTGTATTGAGGCTTATCGATTTAATTGATCTTTTCAAACCAGCTTTTGGTTTCATTGGTTTTCTCTATTGACTTCCTGATTTTAATTTATTGACTTTTGCTCTAATTTTTATTACTTCCCTTCTGCTTACTTTAGATTTAATTTGCTCTTCTATTTCTAGTTTCCTAAATTGGAAGCTCAGATTATTGATTTTGCATCTTTTTTCTTTGCTTAATATGTGCATTCAGTGCTATAAATGTTCCTCTGAGTGCTGCATCCCACAGATTTTGACAAGTTATATCTTCATTCTCATTTAGTTCAAAGTATTCTTAAATTTCACTTGAGGTTTTTTATTTGACTTATCTATTACTTAGAAGCATGTTGTTTGATCTCCAAGTATAATTCCACTGTGGTCTAAGAAATACATTGTATGATTTCCATTCTTTTAAATTTGTTAAGGTGTGTTTTATGGCCCAGAATGGATGAATGTTGCATGTGACTTTGAGAAGAATGTGTATCCTACTGTTGTTGGATAAAGTAATATGTAGATATCAATCATATTCAGTTGATTTATGGTGTTGTTGAGTTCAACTGTGTCCTCACTGATTTTCTGCTTGCTGTATCTGTCCATTTCTGATAGAAGGGTGTGACATTTTTTAGATTCTACATTAATCTATGTATTTCTTCTTTTACTATACTGCATTGTCTTGATTTGTAGCTTAAGTGTTGAAATCATTTAGTGTGAATCCTTCATCTTTGTTCTTGAAAACAATTTTAGCTGTTTACTTTCTCTGCTTTCCCATAAACTGTTTAGAATCAAGTTGCCAGTACCTACAGAAAATCCTGCTGGGATTTTGATTTAGATAGTATTAAATCTATAGATTAATATGGGATGAGTTGATACCTTAATTCATTGAGACTTGCATTCCATGAACATGGTTTATCTCTTCATATTTAGTCCTTTCTGGATTTCTCTTATCATAGTTTTATTGTTTTATAGTTTTTGAATGCAGATCTTGTACATTATTACAACTAAATAGTTTAATATTTGGTGCTATTGAAAATGGTATTTAAAATATTAATATCCATTCATTTTTTACTAGTTTATAGAAAAACAATTGATTTTTTAAATATAAATTACATTTCAACAACCTTGCTAAAGCACTCTTTACTTTTTTTTTTTTTTACATCTTTATTGGAGTATAATTGCTTTACGATGGTGTGTTAGTTTCTGCTTTATAACAAAGTGAATCAGTTATACATATACATATGTTCCCATATCTCTTCCCTCTTGCGTTTCCCTCCCTCCCACCCCCCCTCTCCCACCCCTCTAGGTGGTCACAAAGCACCGAGCTGATCTCCCTGTGCTATGTGGCTGCTTCCCACTATCTATCTATTTTACGTTTGGTAGTGTATATATGTCCATGCCACTCTCTCACTTTTGACTGCATTCTTTACTTTTAAGAGATTATGTGTGGAGATTCCTTGGGCCAATCACGTTGGCAAACAGAAACATTAATACCTTTTCATTTTCAACATGTGTGCCTTTCTTTCTTTTTTTTCTTGCTTTATTGTACTTGCAGGAACTTCCAGAACAAGAGTGGTGGCAGCAAATATCCTTGCCTTGTTCCTGATCTTATCCGGAAAGCTTATAGTCCTTCATCATTAATATGATGTTAGATTTAGGTTTTGCTTTAGGCATTTTTTTGTGTCAAGTTAAGGAAATTCTGTTCTAGTTTGCTGAGAATTTTTTATCATGAATGGATGTTGAATTTTGTCATGCTATTTCTGTGTCTATTGAGATGATTCTATTGTTTTTCAGTATCATGAACTATAATGATCTGGTTTTTTAAAATTAATTAATTTTATTTATTTTGGCTGTGTTG